TTGGGTTTTAGGGTTTGGGTTTTAGGGTTTAGGGCCCTAAACCCCAAACGTTGGTTGTTTAAAAAAAGCTTTCGGGCTTCGGGGTAAAGGGGGCTTTGGATGTAGCGTTGAAGGTCCAGGAGGCTGTTGGCTTGAGGACTTTGGCCTTAAGGCATTGGGGGGTTAGGGTTTCCCTAAACCCTAAACCCTAAACCCCCAAACCCCTAAACCCCTGAACCCCTAAACCCTAAACCTCTAAACCCTAAACCCTAAACCCCTAAACTCTAAAGCCCTAAACTCTAAACCATAAGCCCCTAAACTCTAAAGCTTAAGCCCTGAATGCTCAGCTTAAGCCTTCACACGTTCAAAAGCGTAACGCACCTTGTGGGGAATGTAAAAAATCACATTCTTAGTCTTACCTGGGGGCAAATGGTAATTATTGTGCAAGGTAAGTGCATGTCTGTGTACAAGTATTCCTTAATAACTCTGCATTGACAGTTCTGCCGGTAATAATACAAGAGTTATTGCAGGCCCTAAACTTTGCCCTAAACCCAACATATTTGAACTCGGATCGGAATGGACCCTCGAGTGCTCGTGTGTGCCCAAAGGGGTCGGGGCCACATTCTGCAGCAAAACAGCGCCCGTTCTTTGTGTGCGCCTGCGCTAAACCCTCTGGGACCCTGCCCCTGCCTTCCTGCGATCCGGAAAACCCCTAAAATACTTAAGCCTGAGTCCTCAGCTTAACCATGAAGTTGAAAGCTTATTGTTTCTTCCGCTCAGGAACTAACCTTTCTCTTACAGAAGCTTTGGGCGGCTTCTCATGGGAGACTTCGAGCTCCACGTTCGTGACGGAACGCTTTTCATCTGAAGATCTCGGGCGTACGCCGCGAAACTTCGATCCACAGAAACCTCTACACCTACCACGGAAGTTTGGTCGACCCAGCCTAAACCCCAAACCCTAACCCCTAAACCCTAAAAACCCCTAAACCCTAAACTCTAAACCCTAGGCCCTAAACCCTATGAACCCCCAAACCACCCCAAAAAAAACCCGCAAAACTTGCGGGGTCCCGGCCTGCGGCTCTTCTTTGTAGACGGCGAAGGCGCCAGCCAGCCCGAAGTGGACGTGCACCTATTTAGGGATTTGGGGCTTGGGTTTTTTTCCTTTAGGGTTTAGGGGCTTGGGGCTTAGAGTTTAGGGTTTAGGGTTTAGGGGTTAGGGTTTAGGGTTTAGGGTTTAGAGTTTGGGGCACCACGACGCTGGGAGCTTTCCCCTCCGCCCCGAAGAAGTAGAACCTGGGAAGCCGATAGGCGGAGAGAAGGGCGAGGGAGGAAGAGAGAAAAGAGAAGGGGAAAGTTTAAGAGTTTCAGGTTTTAGGGCTTTTTCGGATTTGAGATTCTATGCTGCAGAGACTTTAGTAGGGCTTTGGATTGAAAGCTTTCTCGCGCTTTAGGGGTTTGCAGTTTTGGGGAAGGACAGAAGACATCCAATTTACCTCGTGAGCCGAGCAGCATGTTCTTGCCGTGAACTTCAATCTTTAGCAGTACTCCACCACACTTGATGATGGCCTGTGCCAGGTTGTCCGTTTCATGGAAAATAGACAGCGACCTATGCCCTTGTCCTGTTATAGCAGCCCCCTATCCAAGGTACCTTAACCGACGTGTCTGTTCTTCATAAGCGACCTCCAAAAAAGGACCCTGAACCCGACACCATAAGCTGCGACCTGTGCCCCCGCCCGGAAGCGTCCGTTTGGGGAGCGCGCGGCGAGCTTCCGCCCCACCAGCTGCTTGCGATGCTGCGCCGCGATACGATGACAGCCATCCCCTTCAACCATGGCCCTACAGACCCAAAACCCTGGACCCTGAACCCCTAAACTCCTAAAGCCTAGACCCTAAACCGCTAAACTCCTAAACCTTACAGGTTTAAGGTTGTTTTCAACACCTTTTTCCGCTTACCGAGGCAGTGAAAGAAAGGTCTCTGAGACCAGTCTTTCGGGGTTCAGGGTTTAAGGATGTTTTTTCGGATGGTCCGGAAAAGTAAGCCCTTACGCCCAAAGCAGGGCGTAGGATTTTGTTTAAGTTCTTTCGGTTTCGGGTTTAGCTTACGGTTCGGTGTTTAGGGCTTTCGAAACTGCTCCTAGAAGCTGGTCGAAAGATAAGCACACCCGGAAGGACGTGGCATGATCCGATGCCTGCGGGTACCCAATGTCCCAAACTTAGTCCCTATATCCATGTAAGCCCCATGAAATCCGACCAAAACCTATCTGAAATACTAAGGGTCCCAGACCCTAAACAACAACCCCAAAATCCGCTACTATAGAACTCTGAATGGAACCCTTGAAAGAAACCCTATCAACATCATTATATCCGTCTCCCTTTCAGACGTCACCATATTCGGAGAACATCGCCAGGCTCGACCGAGGAAGCAGAAACAAAACTGTGACATTTAGGGATTTCGGGTTTAGGATGTATGGTTTGGGGTTTAGAGCTTCGGATTTAGGATTTAGGATTAGGGTGTGGATTTTTTGAGGGTTTTAGAGTTTAGGTTATCTAAGCTCTGAAGACATGTGGGGTATGGTTTCTAGTATAAGAGGAGGGGTCTTG